ACTACCTCAATCTCTTTCGAGGACCGGAGTTGGAGCAGCCGGAGGCGCAGGAAGAGCTGGGTGGAGGAGAAGCGCAGGAAGGAATGGAGGAGAAGGGGGAGAAGGAGGAGAGTGTGGGGGATGAGGGAGAGGCGGAGGAAGTCGGGGAAAAGGAAGAAGGAGAAGCGGAGAAGGAGGAGGAAGATGGGGGTGAAGGAGGAGGAAGAGGAGCAGGAGAAAGAGCAAGAGAAGGAAAAGAAGAGGAAGAGAGACGAAGAAGAGAAAAGGGAGAAGAAAATGAGGATGCCACTGCACGTACACATCTCTCCACCAGTCTTGAGGTAAGTCGCGCTTAGGGTAGGAACCTCGTGACTGCATCCTTTGTGGCTCCTCCTCGCCTGCCCTTAGGCTTCGATCCTAAATCCTTCGGCTCCGATCCTAAACGTCCTTTCACTTATGGCAGGAGAGCTGGCGATGCGACTGCCTCCTGTGCGCGAATTTCTGTTGGCAGCTGACAGAGGGTTAATGATTTCAACGTACCGTATACCCTATCAGTAATAACAATTTTTGAAAATTAAAATGATTATTAACTGAAAACTTTGTACGAGAGCTAAAGGTGAAAGAAAATGTGGTTTAGCTTCAGAGCAATGAAATAACGACACATATTTATCTGTAAAAAAAAACGAGTTATCCGTACAGGATGTAAGCAAACCGAAAACACTATCAGATACAAACGACATCCCGCGTCGGATACACAATCATACACCCAAGGCCGACCGAAAGAGGATCCTAATACCCCCGCCTTTCAACAGGGTTCGAAGAGCAACGAGAGAGACCGCAAGAAGACGCCCAACCTCTCGCCAGATTACATGCGAATGGTCTAGCGCAGATTGCAGAGGCGAGACGCAGAGAGTTGAGCGCAGGGTGAGACCGCAGCCTCGACGTGGCGCGCCGTTCCTCGTCCTTTTAAGCTTTTAAGCGTCGTTCGCTGAAGGAGCAAAGGAGTGGAGTTCCTTCCAAGATGTGCAATGGCGGCTCTGCAACGGAGGGGAACAAAGAGGTGTATTAATCATTGTAAGATGTAGTTTAATCGATAGTATAAATCATATATGTATATAGTAATGCAAGATTGCAAACATAGCACACACATATACACAATCATACATAATACATACATATATATACATATATATATATATAATATATATATATTATATATATATATATATATATATATATATTATATAATATTATAGAGAGAGAGAGAGAGAGAGAGGAGAGAGAGAGAGAGAGGAGAGAGAGAGAGAGACAGGTAGAATGTCAAGGAGGCGAGTATTGGAATTGTACTGATTACTTAAAAAAGATGTTAACACGATAAAGAATATGTATATAAGATAGATATATATATGAATGTTATACCGTTAACATAATATAATATGTTAACTATAACAATGAATACATTTTTATATATCCTTCATCACATCATGGCATACAGCGCCACCACA